ACTTCAGAACATCGTCCCAGCAAGTAAGAAGACAGTTCCACTCTTTGAGACTGAAAGCTTTTCCAACTACCATCAGTTCGGGCTGCTAGAAGTCTTCCTAAATTTAAAACATTTCAGTTGCCCACCAGGAGATTTTTGTTCCGTCAAGTCAGTTTCGTTTCTGAAATTTGCTGAGCCGCTAACATGGACTGACAAAGGCAATTATTCGTGTATTGCCGGCAATGGTTTAGAAAAATTTGCAACAAGTTCAACAACACTGAGCGTTGTTCATGCGCCTGTCGTTCTTAATGAGCGATATCCAAATGATGCCTTAGCAGCAGCTGATCCTGGATCTACTGTAAGTACTTGCTAGCACTTTCATTGGCTTAATCATTTATTATCACCAGTACCGACCAGACCATTAATATGCAACTGTCGTCACGGTCATGCATCGGACGCAACTGTATGCTAACTCGTTAGTTAACATTCAGAACACTCACTGCATCCGCATATCACCTTCAAAGGTCATGCAGGTATATGCCATTCACTCAACTGATTCCCTAACGATATCCAACGTGCCTCACATCTGATGGTTTATTTCTGTAGCGCATACTGAAGGGTCGGCACAGGTATCATATTTTCGAACAAACTATTTCGGATACCCATTCTTTGAATATGCCGATACAGGAGTTACCCATGATCTTTTTCAGTGTGCATGACGCGTGGGAAGCACTGTCTTCTGAAATTAGAATCTCACATATTTAGGTGCTGTATTTGAGTATACAGTGCTGCTTAAAGTTGATTTTTGACCATTTATGCTGCCTTGCACGATGAACTAAGTCAGCAAAATCTTAGAAGATTACACATGTGGCCTGAAATCAAGTCTGATGTCACTCGATCTGAAAAATCGATTTTAAGCCATTCAGTTCACACTTTATGATGTACGTTCTTGTTCTTAGCTTACACTTTATAATGTGTTTTTTGCACTGTAGCGCAGGAATCATTCCTGCTGTTAGCGATCTGCGACGAGCCTGATGCGTTCCAGCCTAGGTTGGTTTTAATTCGAAATTCTGACTTACTGTCAGTGACCTGAAATCTCCTAGTCTTAAGTAGGCTGGCTGCGTTTCAGCATTGAGCGGGGCAGTTTTCTAATTTAAAGTAACTTTCATAGGCACGCATCGTTTGCCATATTTCGGCAAGACCTGAGCCGAAATTTATTTGGCTGCGAAATGGAAGTGAACTGAGTAATGGAGGATCCCGATATCGTATACGCAGTACTCGTTTGGATGGTAAAATAGATGAATTTCAATCGATTTTGGAAGTAGCAGATTCCATGGTACATGATTATGGACCGTACATCTGCCGTTCCAGCAACGGTAATGAACAGAAAACCGATTTGGTAATCAAATTGCAAACAAAAAGTAAGTTGGCCAGATGACGACAGCTCATTCGCAAATTGAAATGCTAATGCTTGCAGTGGTGTGGAAGATCTGCCCAGTCATGCGTTCTATGCGGTTTTGTCCAGTGGAAGTCTATTGTTAAGCAGATTCAAATGTGCATTTAGCAAAAAGCGCCTGCAAAATTTCATCTATCATGATTTTCATAGTGCTGAAATAGCCATCATATCTTGAGACCAAAGATCAGAGCCAAAAGATCCAGGGAGCCAGTTTTCAGATTACGAACTGGTAATGGCTTCAACATTTCCAGCGATTCAAAATTATCATAGTGAACATATGTAAGCCCCAGTATGAAATCTTGCTAAGTTAGAAGGCTAAAGTCAGCGTTTTCTAGTAACCACAGGATTAAAAACTGAGTTCCCCAAATTTTCTGTTCATAACTGGTCTCCTCTTTGTTCAACATTGTTTTGCAAAGCTTATAAACCAGAACAGACCAGGAAAATGCACACATACAGGTCAGCACATATTTCTATATTTAGTTGCTTTTTATGAGCTTTCAGCTGTTCGGGAAAAGTCGGGAGAAAGTCACTGATTCAATGATCTCCGTAGTATGCGCTGAGCTGATATAACCTGATACTTCATTACATAATGATAATAAATAGCAACGCGCACCAGACTAGCCGGAGCGATCATGCGTTTTGTGCAATTCAGCCCATCGAAC